TGGTGGTGGTGGTGGTGGTGCCGCCGACCACCAAAGAAGTCATCATTAAATGGATCTCCACCTAAGAATGTAGCATTTATAGACCTTATGTAGCTCTGCCCCTTTTCAATACTGTGCTTGTTGTCTTCTGGATTGTATTTCCACAGCAGGAAGGTAAAATCTTACAGATTTATAAATGAAGTGAACCACTCATTGTAAAATCTTCCCGGTCTACTGACATTTGTTATGACATCCACTTCAAACATTACAATGCTCATGATAAACATAGTTAACTCTACTATAACTAATCCAATTCACCAGCTAATTACTCTGCAAAAGCGATGTTACAGAAATATACAAATCTACCGGAATCTAATTTGACAATGAATGCAAAACAAAAAACACTGAGGTAAATACAAACTCACCAAAGAAGTCTGCAAATGGATCTTGTCCACCAAAGAATTCCCTGAAGACATCCTCTGGATTGCGGAATGTGAATCCTCCAAAGTGGTCATTATTAAAGTGTCCTCTTCCTCCTCCTGTCCAAATGATGAAAAAAGTGACAGGTTTAAACATAACATAGACATATTATTTATATACATATATTTATTCCAAATTAGGGATTAATTAGGGCCAAACACCATATTATTAAAATTTACTGTAGGATGTAATATACCTCCCCCTGGAGTTAAGCCTTCTTTTCCATATCGATCGTATACGTTCCTTTTGTTTGCTGAAAAAGAGTAAACCGAGAGTTAAGCAACTATATTTTGGTAATGAACTCATAGTAAAGACCATATAGATTTGATGCACAGCAACTGTCAAAAATCTAGTAATAATCTATATTATTCATGCCCCAGCCCTGAATCACACCTTAAAGGCACCAGACACAGTGCCAGTACCAGTACCATCAGTCATTAATCATTTTTTGGAATTTGAAAAAAAGGCCATCATAAAGAGCGACGGCAACAACCTCTCCTTATGAAGGAGCGTCTCAAAAGTGCAGTCTGTACAAGGCTGATAAGGCTTTGTTTAGCATGCAGTGAGAGTATGAATAATCAGCTGTGACACATTTGGCTAAATAAAAACAAAAAACAGCTTTTACAGTATATTCAGAATCTACAGCTCCATTGATATAGCACATTTAAAAA